ATTTAATAAGACCCAAGAAGGAGTGTTTTGGCTCTTACCCTAATTGCACTCCTTGATTCTTTCCAGGTTATAAACCTAGTTGTGAAAAACATACTACGTATAGAGTATTGTTTGATTGACCATCATCGCCTCATATATATGATAAATTCCCGTTGAGAAATGGGTTTAGATCATAGTGGGGAGCAGCACCATTCATTTCACAACATCCAACAAAGTGGAAGCAAAACTAAGCAAAACAAATTAAAGCATCCTTTCTTTTACTCCGTATTCAATAAGACATAAAAAGTGCGTTTGGGCCCTTACTCTCACTTCACTCGTTGATTCCTTCAAGGTTTGAAAACTAAACTGGCATCATAGCAAGAGTTCCTATATCCATATTTTTGTAGTCAACAATACAGGGGAAGCTCCCTGCTTGCCTGATCAAACTAAATTTTATTTGTTTACATATCAATATAAAAAAAAAAACTGTATTTGTATCACGTACTTAGCAATATTGTGATGCACAAATAGGTCATCAGGTGCACTTTTTAATTTAGCTCAAACCAAATTAATATTAAATAATTGTGGTAGCATTTTGGGAAATATAATGCTTAACACGAAAAGTGTAACAGACGTGTCTTATTGTGCTTTAGGTTGTGTTAAATGTGAGTGTTTTCATGTTATCACGTTATACGTTTGTGTGTTTTTAAGACATTCAGTTTGTTTATATCATATTGACTGTAATTCATCATACTTATCATAATACATATGTGCAATTTACATTTGATAATACATGAGACATGAAGTCTAGAGTTGCATTTGTCAATACATGAAGTTACATTTTCATATGTGCGGTTAATATTTTCAATGTTTCATGTGTGCGAGTTAGATTTTCATATGCATGAGTTACATTTAGGTATACATAGTGCTCGAATTATATTTAATAATATATTAAATATTACTCCGTATTACATTTACTTATGCATGACTTAGATTTACATTTCGACTTACCCCAAGTTACATTTTCATTAACGTCATTTACATTTCAACTTGAAATTGATTCAAGTTACATTTCATTAATATGATTTATATTTCGTCTTAACTCAACAAGTTACATTTTTTCATACACGACATTTAGACTTGTCTGGAGTTAAAAATTGCATACACGCGATTTATATTTCATATATAACCGTTGGAGGGAGTAAGTTGAGTTACATTCTAGTGCACGCGTTACATCTTTCGCTAACTGAGAGCACTTTTTGGTACAACACGAGTTATATTTCAGTAAACTAGATTTACATCACAAAAACATGTATTTTTTACCCGGATTTTTAATTATAGCTTAAACATAAATGATGCCGTTTTAGGTGTGACAGTATCATACTAACCATGACCTCTAACATGGTATAACAACTGACATTTTAATTGCAAACAAACAAATAAAGAACTCCATGCTATTAAAACTCTATGACATCCAAAAACATTCTAAAAGCTCACCGAAAAATTGTTGAACATTCCTTTTGGAATAATCCAAAATGGAATGTAAGACGGTCAAAAAGTAACAGATGAAGTATTAATATTCATTCATTTTGACATAACTCAAAAAGAAAAGTAAAACAATCAAAATGAAACAAAGATGATTATTATCCATATTTGTAGCTTCATACGTAGTACATTTGAAGTTGGAGTGTATCATACAATTGATTCTGATTCTACCACGTAAATCCTACAATTGGGTGCATTGTTATAATTTTAATTGAAAATTGTGACTTCTGTCAATTAAGCATCACTGCACTTAATTGAACATCTTACCTATTATGTTGAGTATTAGGAGTACTTCAACATTGAGCATCGTGATCTCTATTATATATCTTCTAATTAAATTTATTTTTCTTATTTGTTCTTGTATAAAATTTATTTAACTGTATACATAATCAAACTCCTATAAACTCTAATATGTGAATTTATATCAACATTACACTTTGGAAACTTGCATTGATATGAAAATCATGACTTCTATGACTTAAGCGTGAAGACATTTTTATTGAGTAAAAAATGTCTATCGAAACTCCACAATAAAGAATTTGTGCTGAAATGGGGAATCCTAACTTCCACGCGCCGGCTTAAAGGAGTGTTTGGGTTTGCTTAAAAAAAGCGCTTTTCAGCTTTTGGCTTAAAAAAAGTTGAAAAGAGTGTTTTCAAATGACAGCTTCTACTTAAATTAATCACTTAAAAGCTAAAAGCTGGAAGCAGGTAGAATGGTGCTTTAAACTGCTTCTCACTTTTTTCTATTACACAAAAAGTAGTTATTTTACCAAACACTACCACCTTTTACTTTTTGGGAATCACTTTTTTCTCAAACACTACCAACTTTTACTATTAATGACTTTTCCCAAAATCATTTTTCCCTAAGCCGAAGAGTAGTTCTGCCGGTTCTGTGTTGACTAGTTCGGCCACACGATGTTCATCATCATCATCATCATCCTTGTAAAGCCGCGGCATATCGCGTTTGGCAGGTTTCAAATTCCGGCGGCGCATTGGCTGCATTTGTGCGTTGACTACCTCCTCAGCCGCTAGTCAATGCCCCGGCAAAATCCAGACTTTCACCGACTTGTCCAAACTCCCACTGTACGCTCTCCACCGCCGACCACCCCTCTCCGCCGGCTCATCTTCCTCTACGGCGGCCAAGCACTTGACCGGCCCAGTGTGCCCCGTCAGCACGGTGACACAACTGTGGACCCCGCCCCCGCCTTCGAGCTCTCTCCTCCACACGCATATGCTCTTGTCCGCCGACCCGCTCATCACCAGGTTCCCGGCGACGGCCAGGCAGAGCACGGCGAGTTTGTGGCCCCGAAGAGCGCCGCCGTACGCCACGAAATGCATGTCCCGGTCCCAGAAGTTCACGAGCCCGTCGGAGGACCCGGCGTACACCGCCGTCTGCGGGTTCACCGCCAGCGACGTCACCGCACTTTCTTGATTCAAAAGCGTGTCCACCACCACGTGCCTCGTGATTCTCCCTACCAGCTCCCTCCTCCACGCTTTAACCGTCCCGTCGGCGGAGCCGCTGAAAACGAATCCGTCAAACCCGACGGCGACGGAGTTGACGGCGTCATCGTGTGCCTCGATGGATTCAATGCATTTCCAGTCGTTTAATCTCCACACCTTTACCGTTTTATCCCAAGAGCCGGAATAGAGTAAGCCCTGACTCATATCTACACTCATACATGAAACGGCGTCGTAATGTTTGACACGTGGGACCCTTTTGTGTCTTCTGACCGCCACGTAAGCCTTTGGGTTAATAGCACTCTTCAGATAATCGGTAAGAGTTGGTAAACTACCTATCCGTGTGTAACTTCTCTTCTCATGACTAGACACTTTCCAAACCCGAATTTTACCATCCTGGTGACCCGTGAAAACCTTCCCTCTCCACACAACAATGGCCTTCACAAACCCGCTTTTCGACTTGAACCCCGAATGCTCCTCGAACCCGTGATTGTTCCAGACCCGGATATTCTTACTCTCCGAACCCGTGTATAAGAGATTACCCGAAGCCGCAAGCGAGTACACGTGCCCGTCCTGCCGGACGAGCGTGGCGATGAGGCCGGAGCTCTCGCCGGCGCAAGGTGATGGCCGGAGAAGCCACGGGGAGTTGGTGTAAGGAGACGCGCCGGCTATTTCGCTCCAAGGGGAGGAGGGAGTGCTGGTGGTTATAGGACTGTTAGTGGCTGCGGTACTGTAGAGCGGCGAGGTATCACCGTTTTCTTCGCGGTGGTCATCTCTTAAAAGGGCGGGATCGGAGTGAAGGAAGGATCGGAGCTTTTGCCGGCCGGCAGACGTTTCTTTTTCCAGAGTCAGCTGCATAGTTGCAGTATTATTGCTCTTTCTCTTAGCCATGCATGTATATGGCACAAATTTGTAGAAAAATAATCAATGTGAATGAAATAAAAAATAACAATGATATAGTTATTCGTGAAATGTAAAGTAATGGTCAGAAAATTGAGGAAGAAATAATGCTATGGAATACAATGTACTGTATATTTTGTGCATAAAATGGCCTGATGGGAGATATATATATAGAGGAAAATAAGGACAGGCGGGTTTAGGACTTGAAGAGAAAGGGATATCTAGAAGGAAGGCGCGTGGGCATGAATGATTGGATGATATTAGTAGACGCTTTAAGATGATGCGTGTCGTACACGAAACCTATTTATACATATGCTGCTACAAAAAAGGGAAGATCAAGCTTCCTCTTCACAGTTCACACATGGGATATGATTATATCTTATGCGGGCGCAGACCAATTTTCATGAAAGAGATGGATTGCATAAAATGTGTGGACTGGACCAAGTGACCAGCCTAGCTTGTTGACTAACTCATAATTCATTTTCTCTTTTGTCAATTTTGTGTATCCCTCCGAAATCAAATTTTATTAGTGTAATAACTGCATTCAACCATTCATTTATAATTTGCTAGCTTCTCGTGACTATATTGCAAAGTTTGAGAAGAGTTTATGACTAAATAATACAAGTAGAATTGAACTAAGTTTTTGAAGGCAAATTGTATGACATATCCTTTCGGTATCATATCCTCTCTATATGAAGTAATTAGAATATCATAATTTAAATATATACAAATGGTGTGGTACTGTTCTCGACCAGTCAAATCCTTATAGTATGGTACCCTCACTTTTATGTGTTATTATCGTAATATTCACCATTTTAAAAGTTTGTATGACAATCACTAGAAGAGAAATGGGTTCTCAAGGCGCTTTATATAAACCTACCGCGACGCTAAAAAGCGTCGCTAGTGCTTTTACCGACACTTGTAAAAGCGCTGGCTTTGCTTGTGTCGCTAGCCCTTTTTACGATGCTAAGTGTTAGCGTCGGTATATAATTCTAAAAGCGTTGCTATAGTTGAGGCACTTTTCATCAACCTATCAAGGCACACAATTAGCGTCGCAAGATACTCAACTTCAATTTCCTTTCTAATAGCACCAAATTCAATGAATATTAATATTGCACCTATTAATTTCATAAGAGATTATACAAAACTAATCACTTGGAAAGAACAAATGGTTTTTTATTAAAATGTATAATTAAATTATTCAAGAACATTAAAGGTACTTTGACATCACAATGACCAAACAATGCTGGAATCATACTACTTTTAATCCATAAAGTTAAACTAAGCAAAAAGTATCAAGGATTCAAGATATCCATTATTTATTAGTTTATTACATTGATCCAAAACCAATCCTCATCATTTGATCTTCAATGCTTGTATAGAAAAATCTGCAATAATAGAATAGAATAAATAATGAGCAATTGTTATTAAAAAATAAACACACCATCTAACCGTGGCATTAGAAACAATTTTATACAAACTATCTGTCATCATCTTTTTCTAAATTTCCTCCTTTTCCATCTCTCCTATTTTAACAACATTGACTACCTCTACAACTTCACTCTTTGATTCCAAAATAACCCTAGAGCAGCTAGAATTTAGAAATATAATTATTTCTTTATTTTTAAAAAAATACTCTTGACAATAACTTTAAGGTATTTTTGCTCATTCAACACATTAGGACATTTCAACCAAACCATCAATAATTCATCAGATTTTACTATCTCATCCCATATTTACTATCTGTAAACTGATCCTAATATAATAAATTAATATAATAAATTAAAAGAAGAGGAACTTACCCATAAAGACGAAACCATCTCAAGCAGCTATGGTAGAACCTGCACATTAAGCAAGAAAAAAAAATGTTTTCATGGTAGAATTGTCAATCCGAAGTAACACATAAGATGTCAGCTATACTCAATCAATGTCGTGTTTCTAATTTTCCAAAGACATCATTATAGTAATAACTATCTTGTGGAAACAAGTACATACATTCCAGCATCTATAAGAATCTTTGAAGTTCCAGATGATCCAAGGTGTCGAATGAGAATGCTTGTGTTATGTCTCTTGTTTTTGTTGACATGATCAATAACCTGTGAGCACACCTGTAATTAATTGACTACTAAATTTGCATACTTAATACTTCAAATATAAGATTTAAGCAATTGACTCCAGATATATGAGGCAGCTAACTCGGACAATAAAATGCGCTGGACAAGTAAATTGCAGACCATACATCTATAAGAGACTTTACATTTACACATAAATGTAGTCAGTATTTTCTCTGATCTCTTCTTAAATCATTTACTAACTTCACAATAGTTAAACACGTCATAGTGCACAACTGTACATTAGTACTTACTGACACTTATTACTATGTCAGGAGGGAAGGAGATAGTGGGACTAACTTATGTTTGGACAAGTTTTAGACAAGAAAAACAAAGTCAAGTATTTCTGGGATAGCTTATGACATTTTATAATAGAAGAATAAATAAAGCATTGGCAGAGCAAATAAGAGAGTAAGGAAGTAAAGCCGTAAAGGGAGGACAAAAAGACATTACCATAAGAGATGAAGAGTAGTTCTGTTTATGATATTTATAACATCTCCAACTTGGTGTGGAGTATAGTGACTCTCTCTCATCCACCTATACTTGTTGAAATTCTAAAGAGTTTAGGATCACAAATTTTAAACAGGCTATATAAAATAATACGGAGTAAAAATAATAATAACACAAAGAAACTGGCCTTAGTTAGCGGCCAAAAACATGAAATAGTGTCAATAACACAAAGAAACTGACCTTAGTCATCATAGTAAGTAGTGTTTTCAGATCCATTTCCATAGGCTCCACCACAACCACCACCATAATCACCACCAGATCTGATTAAGTGTCAATATAAACCTCCATAAGCCAAAATATACTACACCCCATTGGATTTGGTGGTACATTGGTACATGATAAAATGGCATACAAAGTTATTATATGAATATTACAAATATGAATGAAGGAAATGTATATTTCAACTTTAACAAATATGAAAAATGGTTCTAATATAGTTGCTCCTGCACCTCACCCCCAAACTCAGCCAGGCAGTGTTTTCCATTATCAGTACCAGTAGTGAAGCAGTGTAACCCTGAAATCAGGCCGGAAACTTCCATGAGGCCACCACCCATTGAGCTGCCCATTTCCCTCAAGAATGCTTGTACATATGCTTGACAAACAAACGTATCATGGAGGGTGGAGTTGTTTTAAATGAAGAACTTAAGTCTTAAAAGAAGAATCATTTGTACCAATAACAATGGAAACTAACAGATACGAGACTCCAAACGCAGCTCTAATAGATATAACTTGGAACACTCAGTAGGGTCTTCCATCTTCTGTATAGCCACTACCAAAAAATTAGGGCCTTTCATCTTCTTCCTAAAATGAAGCGAATGAAACTAAAAATGAATGAACAAAAGGATCTTATATTCAAATGCAAAAAATGAAGGAATCAAAGCAATTAATCATCACATTACACCTAAGCAATTAACTATCACTGTAATTAAATTCATGGAAAACAGAATGAACAAGTACATAAACGGAATTACTGCTCAATATCATAAGAATTCATCGGAGAGAAAAATAGATCACAGGTTATTCATTGTAAAAAACTAATACATATCAAAATTGAGTATGCCTTCTAAGAAGATGGACACTTCAATTTACAAAATAAGAAAATGAAAGATGTCAAAGACTCAACTTCACAAAACGAAAATATAAAAGGAAAATCAGAAAATAAACGACTTCTTCTCCATTCATATGCCTAATGAACAAAAGTGAAGTTCTAAAAACGAAATAGTGGAAACAAAAAGAGATTGAAAATACCAGTTGAAAGACTTCATGGGTTGGATGAGGTCAACGAGATTGGCATAACCTTTGATAAGATGATCGATTTGTTCTTGATAGATCCCATCAAGTCTGCAATAAAGAGAATAGATTAGTTAGTACTGATACTTAAAACGACTCAGTATACAAGTATACAATATACAAGATTAGTTAGTTCATACCTTTGACAATGACATCATCACATTTAGGATTACAATATACAAGTCTGACTTCAAAATAAGGAAAAATTATAATTTCAATTTAGGAATTGGGATCTAACATTCAACATTCAGTTTGGGGGAGAAGTAATTTCAGGTATAAGCGAAAGGAAAATGGTGAAAATTGGAATTGGTGAATGCCTCTATGAATTTCAGATTAGGTTTACAAAATTCAGGTTGTGGTTTGTGAATGAAGAGCTGAGGCTAATCCTAGGAGAGGTGGCATGGAGCTGTACCGTGAAGGGTTGGAGGCGTTGTGCCGGTGCCGCCATGAAACTGTGAGCCTGGAGGCGTTGTGCCGGTGCTGATGGAAATCCTGGGAACTGCATCGCTATGAATCCGCGACAGAGGCACGGAGCAACGGCCGGCAGTGAGCCGGCGGCGTTGCATCGACTCGAACATGGGAGGAGAAGCGAGCGGCCAGAGGTTAGCGTTGATCTATTTGGGACGAAGGTAGTCTCGTTAAGAGTACTTAGCTAGTTTTAAGTTAGGTTTGTCGGGATATTTTTAGCATCGGCCAGATATAAGTGCCCTGTGCCCGTGAAGAGTAGGAGCGCTTTTAGTACAAGTGCTTCTGATCGGAAAAAAGCATACAAGGAACAGACAATTTTTCGTTCAAAAAAGAAGGAACAGACACTTTTCGTAAATACGCCGTTACACATGCGCCTCAAAAGATCGATTTCCTAGTGGTGAATAAATCATTTTTAGAGCAACTCCAACAAGCACCAAATCCTACACCAAAATGGTGGATTTGGCAAAAAATTGCTCCAATAGTAACACCATCCCCTACACCATTACACCATTTTGGGGGAGAGGCTTTTGCTTTACACCAAATATGGCGTACACCATATCTCACGCCATCCACTTTTTTTAATTTTTTATTTCAAATGTGACTCAAAGTTTCGATTGTTATAGTTTTGACTCATTTTTAAAACAACAAATTAGTACTATCTCCGTCCCGCTAGAAGGTTCTCATAGTAAAACGACACGGTTATTTAGGTGATAATTAAATAAAGTACTTCGGGTATATTTTGAGAAATAATTTTAATAGGTATATATTATAATGTGTTAGTATTGATAACTGTGATGTTATAAATGTATTATTTGTAATATTTAATGACTAATTTGTCACTTAAGATTGTTAATTGTTTCCTAAAATGGAAATGAGAACCTTCTAACAGGAAGTCCAAAAAAGGAAAGTGGGAACCTTCTAACGGGACGGAGGGAGTATGTTTTTACTTGGACTGAAATTTGTCGGTCTACGCTGGTCTGGTCTGGTCTGAACTGATGTAGCCTGATCTGATTTCTTTGTATTTTTATAACTACCCAAGTCTAGAATAATATTATTGTAATATTTAATTTTATGTGATTTTAGCTTGTATTTGTGAAATATTGATTATTGTATTTTAATTAGTGAAATGCGTGAAAATACATATTAAAATGGTGTATTTTAGTTTTTATGTGTGAAATAATGTGTGAAATGTCAAAATATTAAATGAGGGCTAATGTATAAATATATGATAATTAGATACTTAAATAGAAGAATGATAAAAAGTTAGTAAAAAGAATAAAAAGAGAATATTCCTTTTTGGTGATGAAAATGCTGTAAACTGTTGGAGAAAAAATATTGTTTGATGTGATGATTACATCTTTTTAGTGTAAAAAATGATGTAAACTGTTGGAGATGACCTTATCTTATCAATTCAATATCAAGTTAGCAACCATATAGACTTAACTTTTTTAACAACACATGCATTATCTTTTCATGTCATAATATTAGTGAGACGGATGTAGTATATAATAATGAGAGCAATGAAACTGCCTATATGAAATACTACCTCTGTACCGAAAAAGTTTGTCATATTGACTTTTCTTGATCAATGATGCAAACTTTGAACAATGATTTTAATTATCATATTTTTATATAATTCAAAAAAAATTATACTACTTCTATGAAAATATTTTGAATAAGGATCGAAACATTTTGATATAATTTTCATATTGAAAATAATTTGGTATTAAAAAACATCATTGATCAAAATTAATAATCATTGATCAAGAAAAGTCAATTTGACCGAACCTTTGTAGGATGGAGAGTGTACTACGTATGGTATAACACTAAAATAGAAAAGATAGCATGAAGGGAACTAAAATCGTGACCAACCCTCTCATTTGGTTCATGCAAACATGCAATCGACCATTGACTGTGCTTCCAGCAAGATATACAAGTAATACAACGAAGTATTTGGAAATCGAGTTTGACCATTGACCACCGGATCAACAAGTACTACTCGTAATAGTAGTATAAAATACGGAGTAAAATTAAATACACGCGGATTATAAAGTGTGACGTATCATATGCTTTTTCATGTATTTATGTGTTGGTACGAGGTATTCATGCAAAACGTGTTCAAAACAAACTTTACTTGCAATTGCATTCAAATGAAAAATGAGTACTCATACATTTATTTATGTGTTCAAAGAAATATGACCATATTTTTTTTCTAATCTGTTTCCAAAAAATTTATGAAGTCGTATGATTTCCCTATAAAAGCATATGGGCTTTTGTGTCTTCATAATAGCTTGCACCATATTTTATTGACAAAATTGGTGCATCAATATGATTTCCCTATTCATCTATTTAATGAATTTAAAAATGGTGATTCCACTATAAAATCAAATGTTTATGGTGAAGACACAAACCATATGAATCCATAGTGGAGTCATACATGACTTCATAAAATTACTCGTAGACTTGTTTGCTGTTTTTTGGTGGAGGCCGGATTTTTGACGACTTTAGATGGGAGGATAAGTTCCGTATTCAATTTTTACGTATTTGATCTTTAGACATACTCTTTCCGTCTCATTTTACGTGTCTTACTTTCCTTTTTAGATTGTATCAAAATAAGTGTAACTTTTCCTTTTTGAGAAAGAAATATGTGGTTCACACACCATTTCACTTTATTATACTCAAATCTCAACCACATTTTTTACTTTTTCAACTACTCTATTAATAATTGTACCAAATCAAAGCAGCACACATAAAATGGGACGTAGGTAGTACCATTTAATTTGGTATATTCATTTAAAGGAGCATGCTACTTGTACACTTTTTTGTACACACTGTCTAGTTGTCTGTGTACGCGGGAGTTTCTGAATGAACTGCATGTTTACATAGGCAACTAGGGGTATGTACAATAAAGTGTACAAATCATATTTTCCACATTTAAATCTCATTTGTTTTTAATCACTTTAATTAAACCCTCCAATCCAATAAAATTGAATTCCAAAACATTTTTAAATAATGTCAATTTAGAACTAGCTATGTTGGGTACGTTGTAGGCAATGTTGAAATGTAATGAGCACAATCGACGTATTGAGTCAACACATTTGATTTGGGGTTTGATTTTGATTTTTGAGTTGTAAAGAGATTCGCGGTTAGTAATGCATGTGTTGATGATTTATGCACAAGGAACTGCTAGAACAATCAATTTCATCTAAAAACAATTTCAATTTTTCGTAATGTAACTTTAATTGCATAAAAATTCAAATCTTGAACTTTAAAAATGATAAAAAAAGATTCAAATCAGATCATATCAGAAAAATTCAAATCATGAATTGCCTTCGTAAACCGGTTTCTTGTCTAATTGCTCTCTTTGATAATCTATATCATCATAGCCATCTTGTAATAGTCAAGTTCTCGAGTTTGATTTGATACTAGCCATTGATTAATACCCATCTTGTAATCATCATTAAATAAAGATATAGAGATAATGACTTCTGTTAATTGTATGATAAACATGCTGACTTTTTTTTTGCTGTATTTTTCTTGAAAACAGATGGCCAAAGAATTAACATCCCATTTCGGTATCACTGTGGCTGGTTTTCAATCTTGGGTAAAATGCCGGCAAAAATGTCAACGGTGCACCGTTGAGAACTACGGAGTACGTACCTAACTAAAACAACGTTTCTTTCCGTCAAATTGATTTGTAGCCGCCACCAATTATAGCCTATTCCGGCTCCCTCCCCACCTATTTAGGGAGTGTTTGAATATGATTTTCAAAACTGATTCTGTTCCTTCAGGTAGCAGAAGCAGAAGCTGGAGTATTTGAGTGAAATTCCAGAAACATTTCTGAAGCTCTAATTTACTCTCAGAATTAGTTTTTTTAGAAGCGAGGAGGTACCAACTTTTGAAAACTGATTCTGATTATGTTTCTGTTTTTAAAAAAGAAGCAGAAGCAGAAGCAGAATCAGTTCCAAACACCCCTTACTTACCGCAAGATATAAAGTCAAATTGGGCGTAATGTCTGATCTGTCCGGCCATTACTAGCTAGCTGAGTCCCTAAATTATAATCCCATTGTTGTCATTTTAATTTGAAGTAATTTGAGTTTGCACCATATTTTATTGTCAAAATTGGATTTTGCACCCCGTCTTTAAAATTCTTGTATTTGCACATCAAGTTCAAATGAAAAGACAAAAATGCTCATTCATCAACAATTCTATTGACCTTCAACATATTCTTGATTGAATGACATTTTCGTCTTCTCATACGGGGTTGAGGTGCATATACAAAGAATTGAAAAAAAGTAAAGTTCAATTTGAATAATAAAATGGAATGCAAACTCAAATTACCCATTTTAATTTATATCCATCACAAATTTGTCATCAATTTTATTTTAAAAAAATATTATACATTTCATATTACTTAATCATCTTTCTAAAGAAATATTTTATATTAAATTTTGTGCCAGTCAAATTTGCATGTGACATCAAAGAGGGAAAAGATAGTAGATATAGGATGAATTCGACCGGTTTAGATTCTACTCAAAACCTAACACCAAACAAAAGTAAAATGGCTTGGTTTATTTTGTTTCGGCTGGATTTATGTTTCTATTTTTTTTGGCAAAGAAATGATGTCATATGATTTAGAATTGGCACACTAATTGTAAAGAAAAAGCCAAAATTATTCCCAAAAAAAAGAAAATACATGATACAAAAATCAATATAGACCAAAAAATTTGACAAGAAGTGAAGAAAGAAGCTAAGGAAAAGGAACAAACATGCTGCATGCCTTTGAATTTTTTTAAAAAGGAATGGGATCAGAACATTGTAAATTCAATTCTGTGCTTATTTACGTGTCCATTTTTTCCTGTAATTTTATACACTTGCACATTTCATCTTCTAAACTATAAAATTGTTCGTATTGAAGATTTTTTCTACTGAAACATGCTATCTCCGACATAAGATTTGACGCCACTGATAAATTTATTTGTCACAACTCCAAATTATATTGTAAGTGATAGGATAACAAGACTAATAAACATACACGACCAAAAATGGACGGAGTTGGAGGTCGAGACAGATGCAGCTCGGACTATTTCAGAGATTTTACATGGATCCAGTTGCTCTTCGATTGGTTTATTGGGTGAAGACATAAGAGATTTGACCAATTATTTTTCGAGCATTTCTTTTTGTCATGTTATGCGATCAGCGAATAAGTCGGTCCACGCTCTAGCTAGAGCCGCTTGTTCTATATCTGATTTGCATTCTGAGTTTTATACTCCTCCTTCTTTTATTCTTTTATTGTATCAGTGTTAGACAATGTCTTGATTAATAGTAATTAAATTTTTTC